TTTGAATTTATAGTGTAATAATTTATTATACTTTCGATTATATTATGATAAAATTGTATTATGAGAATATCATAACTTACCAGCAAAATTGCACGAAAATAAAGATTAATAACGAAATAATTGGTAATCATATTTCAAATACTAAATGAAAAATTAAATTTTGGCAGAAAATTTTGATAGCGCAAAGAAGTGCTGCCATCGCGGGCTTTGTTCGTGGAGTTTGCGTCATGTTTTTGTAGGAAACGTCAAGAAAGGTGGGGACATGAAGGCGCAGCTTACACTTCGCAGTCCACTGCCACTGCTTTAGTAAGATGGCTACCATGTTGTCTCGGACTATCTCACTCATTGAAAATTTCACCCGTTTCAACGGGTCGAAGGTACGTAGGGTAGTTTATTCTTCATATGCTGTTATTTTTTTTGTTTGCATAGATTCATATATGCATATTCCTTTTATTTGCACTTCCAAAAATCATCTGTATTTACGCCAATGATTCATAAGTGGAGTAATCACCATATTAGATGTCTGTAGTCTGCTAAATTGGGCGCCAGGGTCAGGCGATTCGAAGCCAAAGATTGCGGCCTTGCACTAAACCTACTTTTTTCACAAACTTAGAGTATGACAATTATGCAATAGAAGTGTGAACATTTCCATGATCAACCTTTGATTCGTTGGCCATTGACTTTGGTCCATTCGTTCGTATTTAATTAATAGTTATTAGATTATGCGCGAACGAAGTGTCACTTGTCAAATTAGAAAAAATTTGTATTCTTGTTGAATGTTCGAATTTCAAATAATCGAATATCTCATTATCGATTATTTTATTCCTTCGTTTTTGAATTATTTGTGTCATTTTTCTTTGTAAATTACTTAAAAAATATTTTTTTTTTATTGTTGTATGACTTTTATATGTTATTTATGCTTGTGTTGTTCAATGGATATGTTTATTTATCAAAGACAGAGTACAGTACAAGTGCCAAGGATGCAATTAGAAGTATGTGGGTCATTAACAGTGATTGATCTTTGAGTTTGAAATATTTTTAAACCTTGAGGCCAAAGCTTACTTAAAGTTCATGAGCAATTGATACTTAGTGTTATTTCTTGCATTGAACATTGTTTTGCATGTTGCTATATTCACATATTGATGAATATTATTTGTAATATATATTATACTAGTATAATTTTGCATTATGCAATTATATTCAATATGCCAAATAAAACTAATTAATACTATAACATATAATTGTAATTTCTACCACATCAGACTGTTCTATTATTACTACCCATATAATCAATATATGTTAATATTCAAGTTTTATTCTTTGTTCAGGATATATTTACATTGTTTCATTCATATAGATATTGGGATGCAAAACAAACTTAGTAAAGCAACCAGTCAGGAACTTAAATGTTCACGAACACATCAGTTACAGTCTGCTAAATGAAGCTGGAGTACCAACTCCTAAGTTTGGAGTTGCTAAAACTCCAGATGAAGCTGCAAAACTTGCTGCTGATTTAAACACCAAAGACATTGTTCTGAAAGCACAAGTTTTAGCTGGTGGCAGAGGGAAAGGCCATTTTAAGGGGACTAGTATTAGTGGTGTAAAGATGTGTGAAACGTAAGTTATTTTATGTATAATAATATATTTTTAATATTATAAATATAGAAGGGGGTAGGATATGCAATGCAGTTATGGTAACACAGAGAATGTTTCCTCGCAAAGAATACTACCTTGCAGTCATGATGGAAAGAGCCTTTGGTGTAAGTTGTTGAATAAATATGATTCTAATTAACATAGTAATAATATTTCTAATTGCAAGTTTTTTTAATTTAAGGGTCCAGTCATAATAGCTTCAAGTCAAGGTGGTGTAAATATTGAAGAAGTTGCTGCAACAAATCCTAGTGCTATTATGTATGAACCCATTGATATTCATAAGGGTATTACGAAAGAGCAGGCCGAGCGCATTGCTGTTAAGCTTGGTCTTCAAAATGTTAAAGATTACATTTCTAATATCATTATAAATTTGTATCAGATGTTTCTTAAAAAAGATGCCCTTCTCTTAGAGGTAAATCCTCTTGCTGAAGATATTAATGGAAAATGTAAGATCAATTAACAAAAATTTAATTCATCACATATTATGAAAAATAACATTAAATTATTGACTTTATTTTATAATCCTTAGATTTCGCTTTAGACTGCAAGTGTAGATTCGATGATAATGCAGAATTCAGGCAAAAAGAACTATTTTCCTTGAGAGATTGGACTCAAGAAGATCCTAAAGAAGTTGAAGCTGCTAAATTTGACTTAAATTATATTGCACTTGATGGTAACATTGGTTGTATGGTAAATGGAGCTGGTTTAGCCATGGCTACTATGGATATCATAAAATTACATGGAGGAGAACCAGCCAATTTCTTAGATGTGGGTGGCGGTGCGTCCACTTCTGCTGTGAAAGAAGCTTTTAAAATAATTACATCTGATCCAAGAGTAAGTCATTTAATATACATGTTACTCATAGACGATTTCCTTTTATGTTGATAAAATTGATAAATTTATGTATTAACACAGGTTCATGCTCTCTTAGTCAATATATTTGGTGGAATTATGAGATGTGATGTTATTGCAGAAGGTATCATAGCTGCAACTAAAGAACTTAGCTTAAAAATTCCTGTTGTTGTTAGACTGCAGGTATAGTAATTTTATACACATACAAATATTCTTGTACAAGTAATAACTGAGATGTCAATTTAATTGTATGTAATTATGTTATTTTAGGGTACAAATGTAGACGAAGCGAAAGCTCTTATTGCAAACGCAGGTTTAAAAATTGTACCAATCGATGATCTTGATGAAGCTGCCCGAGTTGCAGTTAAATTATCAACAATTGTAAAATTAGCACAATCTGAAAATCTTAGCGTCAACTTCGAAATCCCTTCAATTTCATAAATTTAGTAAAAATTGTAATTTATATATTATCCAGAGAATTATGAGGATATATCCACACTGTTAAATGTTTGGAACAACATTTGAAAGTAATAACTAGATTAATAATTTCGAATGTCATTTCTGTGCTGTTTTTTTAGAATTACATATGAATACTTTATATGTTTCGATTGTAAGTGGAATGGAAAAAGAATAATTGAAATTTTATTTCGCTTGATATTTGGAATTTGTATCTTTTAAAAAAAATTGAACACGCGTTTGTTTATGATCATGTATATTTTAAATGTTGCAAAAAGAACCAGACAATCTGTTCAAAATTGATGTTGCTTCCCTCCCAATACAAGCACAAATTCGTTCCCAAGAAGTATGCAGACTTCTTAAAAAGTGTAATTTATTGCTTACCCATTAACGGGTCTCTGTGATTCAGTATTAAAATTAAGTTACATAATATACACTTACCAACATAGCCATATTTTTTGCGCGAAAGTGTACTCGACATTCTTTCAAAGCTTATACATGTACTAACGAAGTACACGATTACTGTCCAAAATGAAACCTTTTATATAACCATCCACGAAAAAAATTGTTATATTTGAGAAATTATTTGAGATATGTTTATTATATCTCATTTAAACAAAAGGCCTGTTTAAAATACAATATTATTGTGAAATAATTAGATTATGGCGTATCAGTATTACGACATGACGTGATCATATAATGACGAAATAGTTACGATATGCTATTTGCATTTATGTTATAGGTATATTATTTAATATGTTACAAAATGTATTAATCATACAAAAAATTGATGGTATAATTTAATTTATTGAAAGGAATTTGTAAAAACAAATAATATAAATAAGTACATGTAACGTTAATTTAAATGCATCGCAAAAATATTTGAAATAAAATTTTAAATGTTCCTCCGTGTGCAAAACAGTTTGAAAGTATTTTTGCTTAAGTGACATTGTTACGATCGGCAATAGTTCTCTTTTTAAATAAAAACATGTAATTATTACAAAGAGTATATCTTTTATTTATCTATAAATTTACATTTTCTTTTAACTATGTAAAAATAAATAATACGGTAGTAATAATATGTTGGATATTAACATAAAATTTTATGCATTAAAATATTAAAAATCAAGGAACTCATATTTTTCGAATTATTAACATTAAAGTCGACCTTTATACCATTAAAATTACCTATCGTGTTTACTGTGAAATTTTTTATGTGTTGGCCTCCCTGTTTGGAAATACTTAAGGTAATACAATGGTAGTCAGGGGTTCATATTTCATTTTGAAAAACGTACATTGTAAACGAAGTTCCGTAATACGTATTAGTTGTTTTCTTATTTTTTAAGGTTGTAAACTAGAAATATTAATACTTAAAAGCATGGTGAGAACAAAAGCGGATCGTGTACCTGTGAAAGGTGAGAAATATTTTAAAAATTCATTACTTTGTTAGATTCTTTAAAAACATCTATTGTTTCTTTGTTCTTCCGTTTGATTTCAATTCTGGATTTCATTTTTCACTTACTGAATTTTGTTAAAATCTTATTTTTCTATCCATGTACACGACAGTATTTTTTTTGATTACTAGAATATTAAAAGACAGTTAATTTTGTTAAACATATTTTTAGCTGTTGGTAGCAAAGCACCAAGAAAACTTGCGAAAACTGCCACACCAGTTAAAAAAACAAGTAGCAGCAAAGGTAAAATTCTAAATATTATGCAAAAATTAAAAATGTTTATACTGATAATGTAGTATTTATATAAAAGTGTAATTTCAGGAAAGAGTTCAGGTGGTAATGCATATCATCCAAGAGAAACACCAGAATGGCAAAAGCCTATTACATGTTTTCTTAATCAAAATTCTTTGACAGAATCTACAAATTCCTCAGAAATGCAGGTATGTTTTATAAGTTTTACTTACAAATGTATATACATAATAAAATATTAATAACATTGATGTAACAGGAAGGGAGAAATGAAGGTACCAGCAAAGAAACAAGAAATGAATCAGATTAAAAATGTGCAACAACAGTGTTGTTAAAATGTTATAGTATTATCCAACTGTTATTTATCAGTACAAAGATTATTTATTTTTCTTACAAGTAATATAATGATACTGTTTTATATTTTATCTTTAAGTGACAAAAATTTTTCAATTTTAACTAAGTTAAAACAAGTAAAAGATAAGGAAAAGTAATTAATTTCTAAATGATAAAGGCAGCAATATGTTAAGAATGTAAACTAATGTGAATATATTTTTTTACTTGACATTAAAAATGTGCTTAATACATGACTTTTAATGTTATCCTTATTTGAGATTTCCAAAGAGTATTAATGTTTACGTGAAGTAAAGTGGTAAAGAAATGAACCAATCGCGAGACAGTGTTTTGATGTTTCTTTTTTGCAGTTATTGTTCTGCTAGGTTTAGGAACGCAATTACCATCAAAATTTTGGCAGTCCAAGTTGCGGTAAAGATTCGCAATATTGAAATGCTGCCGACAGCTAAATTTCATTAAAATACAGTTTCTAACAAGATCTTCGATTGAATAAACGGAATCGAATTCAGTGTCGTCTGCTCCCACGAAACTTCGTAATTTTTTTTCTTTTCGTTTCATTATAACGTAGAATATCGGAACGACAACTGTAACCGGCTGTGAAAAAGTTTTCAATCATGGCTAGTGTCTCTTATCAAATTGCAAACTTGCTGGAGAAGGTATTTAACATGTTTCTTCGAGCGAATATTATGAATCCTATCGTTGATTGCTATAAGATAATAAGTGTCAAGGATGTTAACACTTAACCCGGTGATAATATTGAAATTCTACATAACCTCGCTTTATTCCTTAAAAAAATATACTACAACTTCTATAATAAACTTTGTACTAACTTTTATTATCAGTAACAATGCTTTATTCGTTTAAAGTAATTCATCTTTTTATAACATAGAACCTAATACTTCATTAGTATATATTAGATACTTTCATTTATGGACTAATAAATTCATTGTCATCAAGAAACAAAGGTGTTCTTAGCTGTCACAAATATATCGTATATATGTTGCTTAATCTTTTTTGCAAACAATTTGAAATTTTGTGTATTTGCAATGACTATTAAACTTAGTATTACTTATTATTAATTTAGTAATTTTGTGTTCTTAATTAACTTTGTATACAGATGTATACAAAGTGTTATATATAATAATGTAAGTTTTTCTTTTAATTGCTTAATGAAGCCTATAGTTTTAAAATATTAAAAATAATCTTGTTTTACATTTACAATATATAGATATTTTAATTCCTTTGATTGTCTCAGATGACATCCAGTGACAAGGATTTTAGATTTATGGCAACTAATGATCTAATGAGTGAGCTGCAAAAAGACAATATCAAATTGGATGATGATTCAGAACGTAAAGTTGTAAAAATGCTTCTGAAATTATTGGAGGACAAAAATGGAGAAGTACAAAATCTTGCTGTAAAATGGTACAGTTATATCTAGATTAAATTTGAAGTGTAATTGTATTTTGTTTAAAATTCTGTAATATTTTATATTATTTTAAACATTTCTTACACTTTCCCTTAAAAATTAAATGTATTTAATTGTTTGTGTGCTCGAAACGCCTATTATGTTTGCAAGATTTTCTTTGTATTTGGACACGATTATAGAAACGTGTCCGATTTCAGTTTGGGCCCATTAGTCAATAAGGTAAAGGAGTACCAAGTGGAAACTATTGTAGATGCCTTGTGCAGTAACATGGTATCAGACAAGGAGCAGTTAAGGGATATTTCAAGTATTGGTTTGAAGACTGTAATATCTGAGCTTCCTTTGGGATCCAGTGCACTTGTTGCAAATGTCTGTAAACGAATAACTGGCAGACTTAGTAGTGCTATAGAAAAAGTAATTGCTATTGTTAAATTTGTAGTAATACATTTTAGAATCATTAATAAAAATTTACATCATATATTTAGCATGAAAGAAATTAATCCTTTTTTACATAGCAGGAAGATGTATCTGTACAACTTGAGGCACTTGACATTGTGGCTGATTTATTGTCTCGATTTGGTGCTTTATTAATCACGTTTCATTCCATTATTTTGGCTGCATTATTACCACAACTTTCTTCTCCTCGTCAAGCGGTTCGAAAACGTACTATAGTAGCACTGAGTCATCTTTTAACTTCAAGTAACAATTACTTGTACAATAAACTTTTGGATCACTTACTTGAAGGTCTTTGTACACAAACAGCAAAAAATGTAATACGTACTTATATACAGTGTATTGCTTCCATTTGGTAAGTTTTTTTTATGAGATTTTATACATTTGTTTACATCTTTTTAATTTACAACATTAAATTTTAGCCGTCAAGCAGGTCATAGATTTGGAGAGCAAATAGAAAGGGTAATGCCTTTAATTGTACAATATAGTAATGAGGATGATGATGAGCTAAGAGAGTATTGTTTGCAAGCATTTGAGTCTTTTGTGTACAGATGTCCTAAAGAAATTACTCCACACATTAATAAAGTGAGCAACTTTAATATTTTAAACTTGTTAGAATTTCTTAGAAGTTGGAGATAATGAATATTTCCTTCTAGATTATAGAAATTTGTTTGGTTTACATTACATATGATCCAAACTACAATTATGATGATGATATGAATGATGTATCTGATGGAGAGGATGTTATGATGGAAGTAGAAGAAGATGGGGAGGAAGATGCAGAAGATGAGTATTCTGATGATGATGATATGAGTTGGAAAGTTCGTAGAGCAGCCGCAAAGTGTCTTGAGGCTGTTGTATCTAGTAGACGGGAACTTCTTCCCGAACTTTATAAAGTTGTTTCTCCAGCCTTAATTTCAAGATTTAAAGGTATATTTTATATGCGACAAAACTGTTTAATACAAAATTAATATCGTTTAAAAGGTCACTAAAATAAATATTTATGTATTATATATGCTTTGTAGAAAGAGAGGAAAATGTAAAGTCTGATATTTTCCATGCGTATATTGCGCTTTTAAGACAAACGAGACCAGCTACTGGTGTACCTCTTGATCCTGATGCAATGGAAGATGACGATGGACCAACTTCTTTACTACAACAACAAGTTCCGCTAATTGTAAAAGCTGTCCATCGTCAAATGAAAGAAAAGAGCATTAAAACGAGGCAAGATTGTTTCTCACTGTTGAAAGAGTTAGTGCTTGTATTGCCTGGTGCTTTAAGTAATCACATACCTGCACTGATACCTGGTATACAATACTCTCTGGGAGATAAAAACTCTTCGTCGAATATGAAAATTGATACATTGGCTTTTGTACATACATTATTAATCACTCATCAACCTGAAGCGTTCCACGCTCACATGGCAGTGTTAGCGCCGCCAATTATTGCTGCTGTCGGAGATCCGTTTTATAAAATTACAGCAGAAGCGTTGCTAGTATTGCAGCAACTTGTGCAAGTAATTAGACCACACGGTAAGTTGTAAATCATAATTTTTTGTCAAGTAATGGCTTTAGAACAGAAGGTTAAATAGTGTATTTAAAAATTATTTCAGACAAACCGTGTTATTTTGATTTTGCAACATTATCTGGGGAAATATATCGTTGTACATTAATGAGATTGAGAACAGCGGATATTGATCAAGAAGTAAAGGAAAGAGCGATTGCTTGTATGGGTCAAATTCTCGCGCATTTTGGAGATACTTTGTCTGATGAATTGCACGTATGCCTTCCTATATTTTTGGATCGACTTCGTAATGAGATCACACGACTTACAACAGTAAAAGCTTTAACATGTATAGCATCGTCTCCTTTAAGAGTAGATCTTAATCAAATTATGGTATGTGCATTATACTGTGGGTTACTAATCTATGTTTTCAAGTATGTTATTGTATTTAAACAATATCGTTGAATTTTTTATAGGAAGAGGCAATTCCAATTCTTGGATCTTTCTTAAGAAAAAATCAGCGTGCTTTAAAGCTGTGTTCCCTTCCACTTTTGGACACTTTGGTTCGAAATTATAGTACTACTCTGCATGCAGATTTATTAGATAAGGTAATAGAAATGATAAAAACAAACTCATACTTGCTGAAACGATTATTATTCTAATAAAATACTTTATTAGGTTACTACAGAATTACCAGCGTTATTAAACGAGACTGATTTACATATTGCGCAATTAACCCTTAATCTTTTGACCACTATAGCGAAATTACATTCAGTTGCTCTTACAAGGGTTTCTGATAACATCCTACCGGAAATATTAGTTTTGGTGAAATCTCCACTCCTCCAAGGTAATATATATTCAATAAAATTCAGTGAAAAAAATACTACAAAGAAAATTAGTAACTGATTTCTTTTATATTCCAGGGGTGGCTTTGAATTCAATGCTGGAATTTTTCCAAGCTTTAGTACAAGCAGATATACCAGGTCTTGGTTACAGAGAATTGCTCTCAATGTTATTATTTCCAGTCAGTCAGTCTGTACTTCACAAACAAGCTTATCATTCCCTTGCCAAATGCGCAGCTGCGTTAACAATCACATGGCATCAAGAAGCTCAAGCGGTAGTAGAACAATTTTTAAAAGATGTTCAGAACCCTCAGAGCGATGCGCAGCATATTTTCGCGTTATTGGTAATCGGTGAAATAGGCAGACATGTGTAAGTATATTACATTACATTGATATTAAGTATCTCCTTTCGTATTATAGTTAATTCTTTCTTACTCAGGGATTTGAGCGGAATCACTTCTCTAAAACATACAATATTAAATTCATTTTCCTCCCACTCGGAGGAAGTGAAATCAGCAGCTAGTTACACATTGGGTAACATAGCAGTCGGAAATCTTCCAGAATACTTACCGTTTATATTAAAAGAAATCGAGGCACAACCAAAGCGTCAGTACCTTCTTTTACACTCATTGAAAGAGGTAAATTGTACGAAATATTGAAATAATGATCTCTTATTTTTATTGAATACATTAAATATCTTTAAAATATAACGTATTATAGATTATTACGTGTCAATCTGCTAGTCCATCCGGTGTATCTCATTTACAAAACTTCGTGCCTTCGATTTGGATGCTTTTATATAGGCATTGCGAATGTACAGAAGAAGGCACGCGTAATGTTGTGGCGGAGTGTTTAGGAAAACTCACTTTGATCGACCCTGCTACTCTGTTACCAAGATTACAAGAATCGTTAAAGTCATCGTCTGCACTTATGAGAACTACTACAGTTACCGCTGTTAAATTCACTATTTCTGATCAGGTATTTCATTTTATTCATTCTTTACGTTAATACTGTTTCATTATTAAAACCTGTATTAATAATTTATAATTCTTCACAGCCACAACAAATAGATGCTATGCTGAAGCAATGTATGGGCAATTTCTTAGTTGCTCTAGAAGATCCCGACTTGAATGTAAGGAGGGTAGCTTTAGTTGCATTTAACTCAGCTGCTCACAATAAACCAATGCTCATAAGGGATTTATTAGATTCTGTGTTACCACATCTTTATACTGAAACTAAGATAAAGGTCTTTGATTAATAACAAATAACTACTTAATTCCTTGTAAAGCTATTGAATTTCCTATATAACTAATTGTTTGGTGTTTCTAATTATTTAAATGCAGAAAGAACTAATAAGGGAAGTTGAAATGGGACCCTTCAAACATACAGTAGACGATGGTCTAGATCTTAGAAAAGCAGCGTTTGAATGCATGTACACGTTACTCGATTCTTGCCTTGATCGACTTGATGTTTTTAAATTCTTGAATCATGTCGAGAATGGTCTCAGAGATCATTATGACATTAAGATGCTAACGTATCTGATGACTGCGAGACTCGCTCAATTATGCCCTACAGCAGTCTTGCAAAGTATGTGTATTGTACATCAAATTATAAATTAAAAAAGTAGTTGTTGATCTTTATTAATGAGAAGTTTGATTGTATTTAGGGCTGGAACGATTAGTCGAACCATTGAAGAGCACTTGTACAATGAAAGTAAAGGCGAATTCAGTGAAGCAAGAATATGAGAAACAAGATGAACTTAAACGTTCGGCACTGAGAGCTGTAGCAGCGTTATTAACTATTCCAGATGCTGGTAAACGATTAAAAAATTATATTTTCTTTTTGAAATGTTTAAAATGATATTACTGATTAGTTTGGAAAATTCTGTATGTCTTTTTCAGATAAAAATCCATCGTTGAGTGAGTTTGTAACGCAGATCAAATCAACACCCGAACTTCAGCCACTCTTCGAGATAATCCAAAAAGATTGTACCGGCAGCAGTGTAAATGAAATCAATGTGATGGATCAGAGCTAAAAAGTCTATGATTTACTTTTTGTATTTCACATAGATCGCTGTTAGCTAAGCATCCACGGTCATATTATTCATAGTTTATTTCTATACGTTATTTTTTCATTATTATCTTCGATCTGAACTGTAGTTTGAGATGAATGTGATTTCATGTAACACGCCATGTATAAATTATAAAATAAATTTGCCAATTGTAAGCATTTTACGACAACACATCGGTTCTTCTTTTAACGATAAATAACCGAATATTACAAATAAACTTAATTTCTTTCGTTTTAAACTGTTATTAAAGGATGTAAATTTTTGTATGTTTGCCTTATAGTTACAGAAACCTACTTAAAAATTCATGATTAATGCTCCATCTTCTTACACATATTCCATTTGCTGACCTATTTATACAATTCACTAATAAATTTATTGGCAAGGCTAACTACAGCTTTCCCTCCAAATATATGTCCATTTGCAAGCTGCAACTTGTTTCATTTCAGTTACTTGAAAATAAAACCCAAGTCAAAGTCGGCATAATTTCACGCAATAAAGATATCGATGATTCTATATACATACATATGTTTTACACGTCTATTTTTTTCACATTGATATTGATTCACACGATTAATGATTTGATTAAAATGGTAATCTTTAATGCCAGTCAGTACGCGCCAAAAATAGGTGGGGCTTTAGGTATACACAGGTTGGGGGTGGTACTTTGCCAAATATTTTGCGGTCGACAGCCTTTAATCCGCGCCGCGGCTGCAATAATATGCAGTTCATTAAATTTGTAGGTAAAACCTACAAACGATCACATCAATGAATTATCGTTCAATTTGTCTGGAACGATTAGAATTCTCCTTTTGAGTCTGAAGTTAATATTCCTAGAGGGACTGTATGGTCGCATATTATCAAATCGAAAAATCAGTGAAAACGAACAGGTTTTTGTGTTCCTCTCCGCCCATAGAAACCGCCTTCAATACTTTATAGTTGTACAGTTAGAACACCATAGGGATTCCTTTACCGTTGTAAGATTATAACATGTACTTTGAAGATAAATGAAAAATTTACAGGATTAATCAGTGAATATCAATTGTTTTTAGATCGCGAATAGCTTACGATGACCCTATAAGCTTCTCGTATCGTTGGTTATTGAATCATTTAGCATACGAGTTCAGATTTGTTTTTCTTACGAGTTCGTGCTGATCCTCATGCGTATGTAAGCTCTGCAGTCCTTCACCTAATTCCAAAACCTGCCGCTAATCACGTTCCTCACTCTAAAATGTTTTACTAGTTTCACGATATTGCGATACGTATAAGGAGTAGATTGTTTGAGAACTTTGATTTATATAGTAATTAAAATTTTGCTTAAAATAATAAATAGAAGACAATATCAATTCGAGAACCTTCTTTTTTATTATACAAAATAAAATTAATATAATTATGCAGATAATAAATTTAACTGATTAATAAGAATATGTCATGGACGTAATAAAGAGAAGATTATTCAGATACGAGAGACTACGCAATTTATTATCCGAAAATTGTTGTTAGGGCAAGTATTTAAAACAGAATTGTAACGACTATATATAAAAAAATTCTCCGAACTAGAAGGCATCGAAATTTCTAACGTTGCAGGAAATCACGTAGACATCCGTAAGGTGAACCGTTTTTAACTCGGCTAACGATGCCCAGCGTGTTTAGTGACGGGATAGAGCGTATAAATCCAAGCTGATCGATGTATAGTCATTAATTATCATTGTACTTTTCAACGAAACGAAAGGTGCTTTGTGTTAGGCAACTTTTCATCCATTCTTTCTAAATATGTTATTTATCGTTAACCTCGTTATAGCGAGACGCACCGAACATCTGCTTAGATCCATGAAATATTTGGAAATTAGAAATATCATAATTTTATTTAAATTTATCTAAATAAGTACACACAAGAATTTTGGTAGTCAATTTGATCTTAACACTATCATTATAGAGAAAGTTACAGAAGAGTGGAAAACGGAATTTATTAAGGTTTATTTTCATTTAAGAAAAGGGAACGCATTGGTTTCTTGTTCCTATTGATGACGCGATAGACGTCACACTTAGATTTCAAAGTCAAATTACGCACTGACGACTACATCGTCGATGAAAGGGCAGCTTAAAAGCAAGCCTGTTGCTTGAATATCTTTCATCACCGTGTTATTCGATGTGGTACCCCTTTATTTGAAGTCAAGCGAGTAAAAAACAGCAATTGTCGGATAACGTTTTGGTACGCAGTCGAAATGCGTCGTCCGGTTCGCCTGTTCCCTGTTCTTCTTTTTCCGAAGCTGTTTTTGCATTGTAACTTTTGCTTTGAATAATTCATCGCTTTCTTCCTCGGGAATTATCCTCGAATTAGCCTTACGACTCCACATTGGACAGAAGAATAACAAATTTGGTCGAATGAAACTATCAAATAGATTTTATTTGAAGGTTTAGAATTATAAGGTTAGATGTTCGACTATATTCATAACAAATGCAAAAAGGATAAAAATATCGCTCGACTGATAATAATGCGGAATGAAGATATCCAGAATGTTAATCAAATGATAAATATTGAACATTAAATATTGCTCGGTAGATAAGTTTAAAAGGGACTTCACAGTCTAAAAGGGAAGATGTTACAAGAAATCTTAATATTAAAACATTCCATTTAATTTTATCTGACGCGCATTTCAAATCAGTCGCATTAATCATGAATATTTTTGGAGGTTAAACATATAAAATTGTATATTAAACCAGACAGTACAAGGGTATTAACCCTGTTCCGTAAGCGTGAGATACAATCGCATATGATGAATTAAGATTTTATCGATAAGTCTTTACCGTACTTAAATCAAATGGACTTTAGGTTTTCCTGCTTTCATATCAGATTGACACAATATTCATAGTTTGATCACCTGTTTTCTTATTTTTCCAGATGTCAGAAAATAACGAACAAATGGAATGGAAGACATTCAAATAAGGTGAAATGTATCGCAATACAACAACGACATTATCGTTTTGCTTAATATATCGAGTCAATATTGAAATCTATGGAACCGCAGAACACTTCCGATACATTTCAAAGCACTTACCGCATTCTTAACGTTATGGTATGTACTAAATTTGTTGCGAAATTTTAAAAGTACTTGCTTGTCCTTGATTTAAGGACGTCATCATTTCAAATGCAGCCGACTTTTTTACTAATTTATTGCTAACATCAACAGTATAATGCAATAAGGAAAAGAGCACATATACACTACAATGTAACGGCGCATAAAATGAATTTGAAGCAGAATAAGATACGCCTTGTCTTAATTTTATTGGAAATATTTTAAACAAATAAATAATTGTGATTGCTTGGAATCTTTACAGATCACTGAACTCATCCCTCACGAATTCAGGGTTTCCCGAATGGCAAACCCTTTCGATTACATGATCTCATGATTGGTCGATCGTAGATCATTGGTGGGGAGGTATAAAAGGGGATTACATCCACGGAGCGGCGCACTGTGCGACAGTACAAGTTTGTGTTTGCGTCGATTCGAGTCGCGATTTCCAAATTGTCTCTGAAACGTCTTAGAAAAATTCAACGGCGTTCTCGTGCGTAATTGGCATAAACGATTTGGCACATTTCGAAGCGTAACTTATCTTTCCTCTTTATCGCGCACGATCTCGATAGACGGTTGCCAAAAAGGAAGAAACATGTGTGTACGTACGTTGGTTGGTACCGAAAGCAATGAGCCGGTAGTGGTATTCAGTAATCAGAGCAAGCTTCAAAAAGCAAAAGAGAAATATATAAAGTTACACGACGACCTGGTCGCCAAGGACCTGGAGATAATTAAGCAGCGAAAAAATGAAACTATCTTCATACCAGAACTAGCAGATGACATTTTAAGGGCCAGTACGATAAATTACAGCTGGGTTCTGAAAGCTTTATCCAAATACTACGAGGCGATACAACAAACAAAAATCTTCAAGTAAGTTACTTTACCATTTTTAACTGATTCTTTGGTTATGTTTACTTGTATTGTAACGTAACTGTATACGGATATTCTTTCCCCGGTTTATCTTTTTCATCTGTGGATCAGGTATATATGCCGCGCAGGTAGAAAGTCTCGGGTTGATCCTTAAACACAAAAATGTAACTAGTCGAACGTCAAAGCCTATTGAAACACCGGCTATCATTTCTTTAATGGCCTTTCTCATTCGCATCAAAATTTTATCGCGGTAGAATTCTTGCATAAATAGATTTTCTTAAGTGAAAGTTAGCATTTCGTTACTTTTAGATTTGAATTATTTAAAGGTAGAACAGTGGAATTTTATCCAGTTTTTTGATAGTAAGCCACTTTTTTCGTTTTAAAGCTTTCTATATACATATGCATAACCTGTTAACGATGCGACGTTTTATTTAAATTGCGTCGAACGATATTCTCGTTCTATTTTATCAATTAACGCAGTATATTTCTTTTGTTTTTATACTTGTATTTTAGTTTGAGTATTTTCTTATACGAGAAATATGAAACAAAAATATGTAAATATTAGAAAAAGAGATGCAACCTGTTAAATTTCAACTGCAAACCACTATGGTACTCCATCGGGGTGTAAACTGTACTTCAAATATTTAATATTAACTTGACAGGTGATAATTAAAATTGTGTGGCCCGCTGATAAGTGGTAATTACTTTATACGTAACATTTAAAAGTATTTTTATCTACGATGTTTGTCGAAAGCAGTCATAAAGACTTCACGCAATTATGTTTAGAATTATATAGTAAATATTAATGAATTACAACAACGCGTGCCATCCACTAGAAGGTTAATGAAACTTCCTTTCCTTCACGTGTAGATAATCATTTTCGTTATCACATAATAGATAATCATAGTATATTCTCTATTTCTCGTTTCATTGATAACAATCAGAATCGAAGCGCCATTTCGTTGATAACGATACGAGATCGTACCTTACACCCGCTTTTCGCACTTTTGAATACTTTACATCACATGATTATTACGTCTTCTGTATGCTTCCGTTCTGTATCATTTTTTCTTTCATTTTTAGTGCGATATGATACTGATATAATAACTCGAATAAAAAGTTTTAATTTTGAAAAAAATACACGATAAATTTTGTAAGTAACAAAATTTATTGTTATTATTATTATAAAAAGCTATTATCGAGAATAAAAATTGATAAGGTATTGAATGTGGTAGCGTTAAAAAGTTAGTTGAAAACACTTTTTTATTATTTCCCTAAATTTTAGTTAGGTTGAACAAATTTTTTTAACATTTTATCCATGTTTTTTGTACATGAAGGTTATTTAATACGTGATTGTAGTTTTACAAAGTGTTATCATTTTTTAATTCATGAGCCTCTGATTATTTTGAGTTACGTATCACGTTTCCCTAAAAACATCGTAACGGTCGATGAATGCAGTACTCACGATTCTTGAGAACAACAGATAAAGGAGGAGTAGGAAAAAGACAAACGGTACCGTAACATATGTAATTCGTTAAATAATTCAAGGCTTAATTGATGTTATTGTTACGATTGTAATAATGATTGAGTAAGAAAGGAAAGAGGCGTGCAAAAACGTAACCTATGGGCTGGCTACATTCACGCGACGTGCTACGTGACTACGTGCTCAAATAAAAATGGCATCGAACACCGACATGATACTGGTTTATGCTTGATCTGTGGCAAGAACAGATGCAATCGAGCGTGAAACGGATGCATGTTCCGTTTACACTTTACCTACAGAGGATAATGACAATGAGAAGATACCCACTCTTTTTTGGAATTAATATTTGACAATTAAAGAAATATTTATTGGTGGTGTAAAGTGTCGTAATTACGGTTACAACACTATAAATCTCTTTAGTGTCTGTAATAGCTTTGAGGTTAAATAGGAAATTACAAAATTGCCTTACTTCAGCCTTTAGAATAATGTAAAAACATTTCTTGTCTGGCATGGGAATTTAGGTAACAGTTGTGAAATTAAGTTTGCATTTAAAGAAATAACGAAAAGTTTTATTTTATTATATTTTTTGTTATAATATGTTTAACTATAATTCTTGTTTCTAACCGTCAAATATGAAATTTCGAATTGTGGGAAAGCTCTTAAGTAGATGTCGTTTTGAACAAAATCGACAGTTATAAATAATCTTTAGTAATCTTCTGATAAAAAGTGTTGTAACGCAAAAATAAGTATGAATCAATAAGTGTTCAGTAGTGTATTCGAAATGAAATATAATTATTTTATATTCCATGATTATGGTCACAATTTGATTAGTTACTGAAAATCGTCATTGAGTATTAATAGTCGGAATGCAATCGGGAGCTCGATGCAATTTTTCAGTGATATGTTTGTTTGATAAATATGCAACAAACTTTAGACAGACATGAATCACCATCTTCTTATCCATCTTTCGTTCGAAATATTTATTGATTCAAGCTCTGTCTTTGATCCAAATCCGCAGTCAGATAAAATTAACCTTGATTATTAATCCGCCTTCCGTATATTGCTTTAACGTTCGATTATCATGAAATTGGATTGTTATGTTTGAATTTGCGCAAAGATATACTCAACTAACGACATTTATGGTCCTTTACGTATTGAAATATGAATGTATATTTTTAAAGTTGGGTAGGTCAGTGATGAACATCTAACAACATACACTTCTAACTTTCTATTGTTGGCACCTTTCCCATTGAGGCGTCACAATTGGTTGCATATTACCGTTTAATCTGTACAAGCACGCGCACTCGACCGGTACAAATATACACATTACCGTTAAATTTATCGTGTTTTCCTTTTTACAGTGCATTCACTTCCGACTAAAATTAGCCGCGGTGAATAATAATTATGCGTACGACAGTGATTCTCGACACGTGCGCGCCAACTCCGTGTGGAACGCGACGTTTCGCGCATGCGTAGAAAAAAAAAAGGTAGACGGAATGACATACAGACCCAGATTTGCCGTGTAGCACGAAATTCACGTAATATGGATCGTAACAATTACATAAGGAATGTAAATTTGATAACAGGAGAGCACCATGTGCAATGTAAACTATTACACGCTTGTCACCGAGTAAACTATTTATCGTCATAACCTCGTTCGTTGTACTTTCCATTGAAATAGGACAAGTATCGCGAACATTATTTCCAAAATTGCTTAACGTACGTAAGATATGAAGCACGACATTTTGGTCGGCTTTCAAGATCAAAAATACACATTTTCACGTGAGAAAGAAAATGCAGTTAAGTGACGTGAAAGATAGCGTCCTTGTAATATGGTTAGGGAAGCTGGACAATTAGTCCAAGGCCTTCGTAACACCTTTTTTCGCTTTCTAACTTGGCCTCTTTTTTCTCATTACGACTCGACTCTTTTGATTTACCTTGAAAAATTGAATGTCATCGTTGATTATCAATGACGAGGCAATAAGTGTTAACGGTTCTTAGACGAAGTGAAAGTACGCGATCAAGTCAAAGCTATATTTATAGGTTAACGTTATTTGTGCGAAAACGTGAAAATATGAACGATCTTAGGATGGTACATTAATTCGTGACTTTTGAATTAACTTGTAGTTACACTTGTACTTGTCTCCAGAGTAGTTTCCATCAATCCTTGTTCACGCAATCTACCTGCTTGTCTATACTTTCTTCACGTAGAACCCTTGTTCGAACTGTTATGCCATGCTTAAAACATGTGTCTTTAAGGCATTGTTACTTGTCGAGTCCATTAACAGTTCTGAAGCGAAATGTACATCCTTTGCCCTCTTCTCCTTTGTTTCCTCACACCATGCTTTCCTTCAACGGCAGTCTAGTCAAGCGTGAAGTTATATTGAGTATCGTATTACATTGTTATGACTCTGTTACAGCATTACGATACGAAAATATGTTATTATTAGATTTTCTCTTTCTTTCTTTTATCAACGTATTTCGGCATAACGAATAAATAATTTGCACGAAATTTCAATGAGAATATTCAATTAATACACCATGAATATTTCACAAAAATCCTATAAATAAAATATCCGGAAGGCTTATAAAAATATCGATCAATCTGAGTAATTCTTTTATTATCGAAATCATCGTGGAATTCACTAAAAAGGGTCAGCGTGTCAGGGATGAGTAAGAACGTGCGTTCATCATGCTGTGCCTCCCCGACGCGCTTTAATTTGTTTCTGATCACGAACGGCACTGGTTTATAAAAAACTGCCACACCGCGGATGCCACGAAATTCCAGGGACCGGAATTATTCATGGAACTCGGGGGGTTCCCAAAACTTTTTTTCCACAGTCGGTCGTTTCGCAAGAAAAGGCAGGTAGTTGCCGAAGAATGTTAATGACGGTAATCCCGGCGGAACATCTGGCTTCGACGCTTAGCTGGCGTTTGGTCAAAAGACACATCTTAGAAATTTACAAGATGAGATGAAAGTGAACGCGTGATGTTGCATTAGCTTGATGTTGTGGCTCGTTGACGTCGTTCACATGTTCCCCTCCAAAATAGTCCAGCCAAACCACACGGATGCACGTCCGTTCGCGAATATTGTCAGGCGTTCCACGTCAAAAGATGTAATGTGCCAACTTTTCGCTCTCGACTGTGACCTACGAAATAAATTATCTCCGTTTGTCGTGCGTTATCGTACAAGACAAAATAAAATTTGTCAGGCGTTTAGTGCGAAGAAACATACGAGAATGTGTCTGACGAAACGGTTATCGCAATTGTTCGTTGTGCTGATTCTCGTGTAAGTACGTGTTCGCGCCTTTTATTGTTCCTGTCGATCTGTGGAGAAATTGTGATAAATGGATTCGCACTTTCGGTAGATAGTAAATCAGTGTGTACACTTTGCCCTGCATTGTTTCAGACAAGTTCAAGCAAGTTCATTCCAAGCATCGAATTTTTGTCCCAACGATTGTTCAAAGACCGGGAGTAGGATTGTGCATATAGGAAGGAAGAAATAGGGAGAGTCCGG